TGGGGGATCCCCGGTTTCATCTGCACCCGCAGGGCTGCACTCGGTGATGACTTCGAGAGCCGGGTCAACCCGGAAAGCATCTTCGTTGGCTGGGGAGGCCCCGGTTTCATCTGCACCCGCAGGGGTGCCCTCAGTGACGACTTCGAGAGCCGGGTCAGCCCAGAAAGCATCTTCGTTGGCTGGAGGGGCCTCGGTTTCATCTGCACCCGCAGGGGTGCCCTCGGTGACAACTTCAAGAGCCGGGTCAGCCCGGAAAGCATCTTCGTTGGCTGGGGGGGCCTCGGTTTCATCTGCACCCGCAGGGGTGCCCTCGGTGACGACTTCGAGAGCCGGGTCAGCCCGGAAAGCATCTTCGTTGGCTGGGGGGGCCTCGGTTTCATCTGCACCCGCAGGGGTGCCCTCGGTGACGACTTCAAGAGCAAGGGCAGCCCAGAAAGCATCTTCGTTGGCTGCAGAGGCTTCAGCAACCTCCTCACAGGCAGGGGCAGCCTGGGCGGCAGCCAGGCCTCCACTGTCCGCACAGGCCCCTACTTCCGGTTGGAACTGCTCACCGCTAACTGGGATGGCCTCCCATGCTTCAGTCTCCCGAATCAGCCGCAACATCCCCAGGAAGCCAGGTGGTCTCCTTTCCAGTCGCATCCTCCTCAGCTTGTTCTGGAGCAGCTCGCTCGGCCGGGCCCGCATTAGCACCTGCCTGGCGCGAACCTGGTCTGCGACGACAGGGTGAAAGGCCCCCTTCTCCACAGCCGACTGCAGCAGGCCCTCCAGACGCATCACATAGGCAAACAAAGTCTCCTGAGGCCGCTGAGCACAAGTCAGGAACTTGAGCCGGGCGGTCTCGCAGGAGTCCTTGTCCCCAAACACCTGTACCAGCGCAGCCAGGCAATCCTGCGAGGGCATGTCAGGATTTTCTGCCAGGAGGCTGCCCAGGAGCTCCAGTGCGGGGCCACCCAAGCTTTCCAGCAGCCGCCGCCTCCTCTCCCTTTCGGACACGTAGCGCCACGTGTACAGCATGTCGTTGGCATGGTCCAGCCAACTCTCAAAGGACTCTTGCTCTTGGGCTGCCTCTTCCAACCCAGAAAAGGCTCTCAATTCCCCAAAGGCTATATTTTCCAGCACAAGCTGCTGGGCCTGATTCCACTGCTGGGTCCAAGATCCTCCCGCATCTATGGCTCCTGAAACCCCCACAGCTCCTTCCTCCCTGGCAGTGCCTGCCTCCCCGGCAGCTCCCGCCATGCTCACAGATCCTGCCATGCCGGCAATTCCTGTGTCACCTGCCGCTCCCTCCTCATCAGACACCCCCCCTTCATCTTGGGCTCCTGCCTCCCGTGCAGCTCCTGCCACTCCTGCCACACCGGCAGCTCCTTCCTCACCTGCTACTTCTGCCACACCCCCAGCTGCTGCTGCTGCACCTGCGGCTCCCTCATGGGACACTCCTCCTTCATCGTCTGCTCCTGACTCCCGTGCAGCTCCCACCTCATCTGACTCTCCTCCATCTTCAGCTCCTGCCTCCCCTGCAGCTCCCACCTCACTCACAGCTTCTTCCTCATCTGCAGCTCCTGCCTCCCCTGCAGCTTCTTCATCTGACTCTCCTCCATCTTCAGCTCCTGCCTCCCCTGCAGCTCCTGCCTCACTCACAGCTTCTTCCTCATCTGCAGCTCCTGCCTCCCCTGCAGCTTCTTCATCATCTGACTCTCCTCCATCTTTAGCTCCTGCCTCCCCTGCAGCTCCTGCCTCACTCGCAGCTTCCTCCTCTGCAGCTCCTGCCCCGCCTGCAGCTCCTACGCCACTTGCCTGGCAAGCTGCTGCTTGACTCTGGGGCTGTGCAGGGAAATCTGGTCTATCCTGTGACTCTGAATCAGGGGCCTGGGGCAGAAAGACCACAGGCCAGGGTCCTCCTTCGCCTGGTATCTGTCGAGGGATCAAACTTCGGTTTAAATACTGAGCAAACTCGACCAAGGCGACCTTGCATCCAAGCTCCTTTCTGAACACTTTGCCCAGCAGTCGGTACCTGCCCAGAGGCCACAGGGCAGCGTGCACGGCCTCCTGGAATTCCTGGTCCCCGCAGTCATCAGGGATGCCCAGGATGAGCAGGGAACGGTGCGCGTTCACACCCATCCACCTGCACCAGTCAAGCAGCATTGCCAGTGGCATCGCCATTGCTGAGAACCTGAGGGTGGAGAGAAATGACTAGATAGGGGCACACAGACTGTCACGGTGTGAGCCTCAGCCCGTTGGTTTAGAGGGGTGAGAGACATGTTCATACCTACCCTACCATAGGCTACCCTACCGCATAGTCAAAGCCTCACATCCCTCGCAGTGGTGGCCTGGAGTGCTTCCACTCCGCATTTTGTTTGAGTTTAGAAAAGTTTTGTGATGATACATTAGTTTATTTACCAGACATAGGCCTAGTCCAGTTTTCTATTCTTTCTGACATCACTTGAAGGAAGTTGGTTTTTAGGGACGCCTGGGGGGCTCAGTCAGTGAAGCGTCTGCTTTTGGCTCAGGTCATGATCCCACGGTGCTGGGATCAAGTCCCACATCGTGCTCCTTGCTCAACAGAGAGGCTGCTTCTCCCTCTGCCGTCCCCTCTCCCTACTTGCGTGTGTGTGCATGTGTGCATCACAAATAAATAAATAAAATCTTAAAAAAATAAGGAAGATCCCCCCCAGAAATATGTCGAGTATTCAAATTTTTGGCATAATTTTTTCCAAAATATTCCCTGCATTCTCTTTTTAATGTCTGTCTCATCTGCAACAATAACACTCTTCCATTTCTGATGTTGGTAATAAATATTCCTTCTGTTTTTTCTTGATTAGTCTCACTAAGGCTTTATCACTTTTGTTTCTCCTTTAAAAAAAATGTATGGCTCTGTTAAATATCTACAATTTGCTTTATATTATTGATTTCTTCTTTTAGCTATAACATTTTTTCAGCCAATTCATTTTGCATTTAGTTCAGTCTTTTTTTTTTAAGTTTCTTTAAATGGACCATTGGGTCACTGATTTTATGCCCTTCTTTTCTAAAGTACCTACTTAGGAGTAAAACATTTTCTGCTGATTGTTTCTTTAGCTGCCTCACTAACTTGGATAAGTTGTATTTTTTAAATTAATCAGTTTGAAATATTTTCTAAGTTCCTTCGGGTTTCCTTCTTTGAGCCATGGGTTTCCAAATATTAAAGTTTATGTTATTATTATTTTTATTTTATAAAAGATTCCATCTGAGAGAGGCAGCACGAGCACGAGTGAGCACCAACAGGGAGAGGGGCGGAGAGAGACGCCAACTCCCCGCGCAAGGTGCACGCTTAGCCGACCGAGCCACCCAGGCGCCCCTATAATTCTTAATTTTAAATAAAATTCCCTGAGACTGAAGAACTTATTATGCAAAAGCATAATCCTTTAAAATTTCTGGAGACTTTTTTATGGCCCAGCATACGGTGTACGTGGGTGGAAGGGAACGAGGCTTTACGTTCTGTGGAGGACAAGGTTTTGCAACTCCCCCTGCTGGAATCCCTCCGCCATCTCTCGCAGAGGTGGGCGGAGCCCCTTCCCGAGCCATGCACGTGCTCAGCCGCCGGCCCCACGTGCCCGCCCATCCGCCTCCCCTCAGCGAGGCGCTGTTTGCGCAGGCGCAGAGCGTCCTCGGGCCGCGCCCGAACCGAGCGGTAGAGCCCGCCCAGTCTACGGCAAGCAGGGCGCCCCCACGGGCTGAGACTGCAGCCTCCGGCTCCGTGTCCTCGCCACACCAGCGAGCTCTGCCTTCTCCCGCCCCGGCCAGGAAGACTCCCCTCCCACACTCTCCACAGCCGCAGCCCGTCACCCTCCCTGGTCCCCCACCCAAGCAAAGTGCCCTCCCGGGGGGCGCACCCCGCACCGGCAGCGGCCCACTCGCTAGCCTCTGGCCTCGCCCCACACGACGCAGTTCCCCCCGCCAGCAGCGCCGGCAGCGGTGGGGGGGGCCTTCCCAGTCTCCCCCCCCCCCCCAGGCGCCACCCCCCCCGCCCGCCCCCGCCCCCCCCCCGCCCCCCCCACCCCCCCCCCCCAGCCGCCCCGGCAGGGGGGGGGGGGGCCCTCCCCGCCCCCCCCCCCCCCCGGTTCCTGTCAGGGGCGGTTGGCATCCTCGCCTCCCAGCTCCCACCAGCCCCGTCGCTCCCTCCGGACTCTCCGGCACCCCCACTCTCCGCGGGGGGGCCTCCCCCTCCCCCACAGAGCAGCCGTTAGACCTCCCGCCGCAACCCGAGCCCTGCGGGGCCCTAGCCTCCCACGCTCCAGCACCCGCAGCCGAGGGCCCGCTCCTCAGCCCCCAAAGCCCCCCCCCCGCGATGGGGATGTATCCCTGCCCTCTCAGCACCCTGCCAGGGAGCCGACCCCGCCGCCGCCTCCAGCCGCCCTGAGCCCCCCCCTTCCCACGCCTCACACTGGCTCAGCCATCAGGAGCCCTAAGCCCCCCCCACCAGAGCGGCCCCCCCGACCATTCCCCTCACAGCCAGCAGTCCCCCTCTCGGGCCCCCAACACTGGGATGCTGTTCCCTCAGCAGCCGCGCCTTCGGCCCAGAACCGCCCCCCCACCCCGCTCCCACACCACCACACGCGGCGACATTAGTCCTGCCCCCCCACCTCCCCTCACCCCGGAGTCCTCCCCACCAGGCCCCCATCGCTAGGAACCTTCCATTCGGGCAAACCCCCCGCCCCCCAACAGGAGCCCTCTCTTCCACCTCGGCTCCCTGACCGCAGACGGCCCCCGGCCCACATCCCTCCTTCCCCGTAACTGCCGAGCCCGTGCCCCTCGACTTACTTCGTCCCACTCAGAACAGCTCCACACGCCCACTCCGAAAGGCCTGAAGAGCTCTCGCCAGCCGCACAGCCAGGAGCCGAGTGGTGCAGCCTCCCGAGCACGCGGTGCGAAGCCCACAAGCGCTTCCGGCCGCTCCCAGAAGCCCCCAGGCGCCGGAGGCAGAAAGTTCTCGGGGCGTCTCTCGACCAGGCAAACGATTGGCTGAGGAGGGCACGTGACGAGGCACCGTGTTACTGGAGCGACCTGCCTCGGAGTCTCACGAGACTGATGTTCCGAGATCCGTGTTCCGAGACCGATGCTCCGAGGCTCGCGAGCCTCCCGAAGCAAAAGCCGAGCCGGCGCTCAGCGACCTTCCGCCAATGACACGCCTTACCAACAGGGCGGCGGGGATGGCGGAAACTTGCAGATGGAGAGCTCGTTGCGCAAAAATGCTCGAATTTTTTTCAGAAAGTTTATTTTCTATTCTTGGTAATGTCATGAAGACATTCTATATTTTTATTGATTTCTTATCTAGCTGTATCAGTCCCTAAGGCAGAAGTGTTAACATCTCTACCTATAATTACGAAAAAGTCTGTTTCTCTCTTTATTCTGTCAACTTTTGTTTCATACATTTTGAAGCCCTTTGATTGGATACAAGTACATTTATAAATTCCATGTGTTCCTGACTAATTGACCCTGATATCATTATTACCTTTCAGGTCAGGTAATATGCTTAGTCCTTAAACATATTATGTCTAATAGTCATATAGCCATTCCCACTCTCTTAGGCTTACTCTTTGCATGGTATATAATTTGGGATTCTCTTACTATTAACATATCTGAGTCATTATTTTTTTTTAAATTTGGTCTCTTGTAGACAGCAAAATCCTTGTGCTTTCTTCGTTCTGTCAAATCTCTGTCTTTCAATCGGAATGGTTAACCCATTAACATTGAGTATAATTTTTGAATGGTAGGATTTAAGTGTATGCTTTTACTATCTGTCTTAAGGGGCTCATCAGGCTTTTATAACAAAATACCATAGACCAGGATGCTTATGAACAACAAACATTTATTCCTCACAGTTCTGGAGGCTACGAAGTCCAAGGTTAAGGTGCTGGCACATTTTATATCTGGTGAGAACCCACTTCCCAGTTAACAGACAGCCACCTTCTCACCATGACCTCACATGGCAGAAGGGGGTGAGGAACCTTTGTGGAGTCTTCCTTATAAGGGCATTAATCCCATTCATAGACTCCTCTCCGTGACGTAATCACTTCCCAAAGTCTCTACCTCCTAAAGCATTGGGCATGAAGGTCCAGCATGTTAATTTTGGGAAGGACACAAACTCTCAGTCTGTAGCACTATGTTCCCTTTTTCCTGCCAGAGATAATCAATTATTTTAAATCCCATTTTAACTTGTCTGTTGCTTTTTTTAAGATTTGACTTATTTATTTATTTATTTATTTATTTGAGAGAGAGGGAGAGCAGCGGAGTGAAAGGGAGAAGCAGGCTCCCCGCTGAGCAGGAACCCCAATGTGGAGCTTGATCCCAGGACCCCAGGATCATGACCTGAACCAAAGGCAGATGCCTCACTGACTGAGCCACCCAGGCACCCCTTGTCTAATGCTCTTTTAAGTAATTATCATTTTGCATTGATTCGTCGTGGTTGCTCTAGAGACTATAACATATAACCTTAACTGTTCACTTGTCTGCTTGCAGTAAATACTGTACTACTTCACATAAATATGAGATTTCCACCAGATAGATTCATTCGCCCTCTATCTCATCCCTTATGATGTAGTTGCCATACGTATTACATCTACATATATTATAAACCCTACAATAGGTTATTATAATTTTTACTTTAAATAATCATATCTGTTATAAAGAAATTAAGAGCAAACAAGTATTCTTTAATGTTTGCCTACATGTTTACCATTTCTGGTGTTCTTCAGCTCTACCCAAAAATCAAATTTTCCCTCTACTATTGTGTTTCTTTAGATCGAAAGACCTCCTTTATCATTTCTGTCAGCCCAGGTCTACTGATAACTTCTCCTGGCTTTCATTTATCTGAAAAGGTCCTTATTTCACCTTTATATTTGAAGAATCTTTTCCCCAGAGATAGAGAGTTCTGAGTTGAAAGTTGTTTTTTGTTGTTGTTCAGCACTTTAATATGTTGTCCCACTGCCTCCTGATGTTCTGACAAGAACTCAGTGCAGAATCTCCTGAAGGTGGTGCTTCAGCTAATTCTGACTGCTTTCAAGATGTTCTGTTTATCCTTTGTTTTCAGTATGCTTTTTTTAAAGATATTTATTTATTTATGTGACAGACAGAGATCACGAGTAGGCAGGGAGGCAGCCAGAGAGAGGGAGAGGAGGAAGCAGGCTCCCCGCTGAGCAGAGAGCCCGATGCGGGGCTCGATCCCAGGACCCTGGGACCATGACCCGAGCCGAAGGCAGAGGCTTAACCCACTGAGCCACCCAGGCGCCCCTGTTTTCAGTCTTCCGACTATGATGCGACTACATATGACTTTTCTTTGTGTTTGTCCTCCTTGGGCTCCACAGAACTTCTTGAATGTGAAAATTTGTCTATTTCCGAACTGAAAATGTCAGTCACTTTTTAAGTAGTTTCTCTTCCCCCTTCTCTCTCTTCTCTCCTCAGATCCCAAATACACATGTTAAACCTTGTCATGTTGTTCCACAGATCACTGAGGTTCTGTTCTGTTGCTTTCTTTCTTTTTTAAGTATTTCTTCTTCTCAGTTTCTCAAAATGGCTCATTTTTGTCGATCTGTTTTCCAACAAGTAATATGAAGCTTCTAGATACTCGTAACTATTAACAAACACCAATGTCAAAAGAAGGACGGAGAAAGAAGAGTCAATAATGGATTGTGTAAAGACCTGCGAAGCTCTAAGAGCACGTGGCGACCCTGAAGCCAGGGCAGGGAGTACCTAACGCAGTGGGAGATCACGCAGCCTCTGCAGAAAACCAGTCCATTGTAGTTCTTAGTTGCACACAACAGAAGCAGACTGGCTGTTGGAAGCACAAAGGGAATTATCTGAAGGATGACGGATGTCCCGCAGGCGTTTGGGGATGACCGGTGAGCCAGGTTTGGAGGCTTTGCAGAGAGAAGCAAGGGTCTGAATCACACTGCAGGGCTGGGCTAGTGAAGGTACCTCCAAGGATGCCTCCCCCGGCTGGGCGCAAACACTGGTTTGCACTGGTTCGCAGCAATGGAAGATGCACGTGCTGTCACGAGAACCACGGCCACCCCTGCTCCTTGGGAAACAGGTCTTACTGCCTCTGCTGCTGCCCACCCGCCCTTGTGGAGTATGTGGGGCCCCTGCTTCTTCCTATCTCTGGCCCCAGAGTCAGTTGGAAGCAGGTGCCTCTGATTGGTGGGACCAGGTCACAAGCCCATGCACTAGCGCAAGGGAAGCTGAGAGAATGCGGACCTGGCATTTTTTTCCGCTCTTCTTCTGGGAGGGAGGTGGGGTTCACATCAGTTGGGGGAACTGCATGCATAAAGGTCCTGGGGTTGAAAGAAACACGGTGAGTATCAGACTGAGAGCAGACCAGTGTGGCTGGAGCAGAGGCAAACAGAGAGATGCAGGGTGAGGGGAGCACCACGCACTAAGGCTGGAGAGAAAATACCACGCGGTCTTTATGGTTGGTCTTTACCTATAAGAGCTGGGAACATTGAAAGGTTCAAAGTCAGAGGTGCAAGTGCACTCATGTGTGTGTATGACACGTTCACATTGTATTTCCAGATGCTTTTTCTGGTTTTCTTTTGCAAGAATTAGGAGGGGAGGGAACGAAGTGGATGCAGAAAGCCTACTGAGCAGCAGCTGGGGCTGTCCCATGAGAGATGATGGTGGCCTGAACCATAGTAGTGGCAGTGTCATGGAACTGATAGGGCAGATTTAACAGACCTAAAACACGCGGAGAACTAATCCAACACCAGGAATAACCGGAAGAGGAAGGTGAGCAAGGGACACATCCTCGAATTCTGGCCTTTAACACGGGTGTGTGGGGATTCTACCCACTGTGGCTGGGGACTGGGTAGAAAATCCAAAGTTCCGTTTAGGGCATATGAGTTGGAAGCACCCAAGTGGAGAGGTCTAGAATCCACCTGGATATAAGGGGTAGGGAGGAGAGGTCTGGACTAGGGACAGAAGTGGGACATCATGGAAAGCTCCAAGTGGTCCAAGGATGAACCCACATATATCTATGCCTCACCTGCTCCCCGTCCCAAGTGTGGGCATGGGCCAGGGGATGGACCACTGGTGGGAACAGACCCTGGGCAGTGGGGTGCAGCTGGCTGCAGGCCGGCCTCAGGCTGAGCAGCTGTCCTGGGCTACTGGAAGTTGACCCTCCCCCCTCCCCCTCCACCAGGACGTCTCGGCAAAGCCGGTGATCCTTCTGGCCACAATTCCTGTCACCCAAAGGAATGCCTAGAGACTGGACACGGCTGGCCGCCCTCCCCACAGCCATTTCCCCTTTCTTCTTTTCCGGGAGGACCCCCTTTTGGTTTAAGTGTCTGTCTCTCCCCCATGCAGCTCAAGGCATGGTAGCCCCCCATCCTCAAACCCAGAGGCAGATCTGATTGGTCCAAGGCCAGCTGCGCGTGGCATTCCTAGGGCAACTGTTAGTGACCTGGGCAGACCATCCCCCAAATGGCCCAGCAGGGTGGAAGGGAAGGCTTCACGTTCTGTCTGAGGAGGGCTTCTCTGTCTTTGGGCAGGATCAAGGAAGCCTGTGGTCCCGATTGCTGCTGACAGACCTTCCCCAGCACACACAGAGCAGCCTGATGCCACAGCCAAGACTTGACACTAGAAAGAGGCTGGGTCTTGGGGCAGCATGGCCCCCAGGGACACATGGTGGAGGGAGCATCCACACCGGGAGGGCCAGTGAAGGGAGAGGGTGGCCACACAGGGAGGGACAGTTGAAGGACAGTGGTGGCCACACTGAGGAGGGACAGCAAAGGGACAGTGGTGACTCCCCTCTGGGAAATCCAGGGGCCAGAGCAACAACCGCAATCATCAGGACGTCTCCAGCTGCAGCTGAGCTTCAGGCGCACAAATGTCAAGGTGGCCTATTCAGAAGGGAGCGTTTTGCTCCCTTCCTGCACCCAAGCCCAGCATTGTTGCCCCCACCAGCCTCCCTATGAGGGCCCCCATCAAGCCTCAGGAGCCCTGAGGGTATGAGGACCGGCCCCATACGTGCCATGACATCCCCGACCACACGAGCCCCCCACTGTTCTGACCCTTGCGCAGAGGCGCAGAGGAGCATGTGACCGGGAGCTCTGATTGCCGTGTGCGTTCCCAGCTACTACCCACACTAGGGCCCCTGTCCCCCAGGGCGACACTTTGCACACACACCCCTCCACCCACAGGCTCCACTCTGTCCATGCAGAGGTGAGCGGACCTGCACAGAAACAGCTTGTCTTGTCCATTTGTCCACAAATAAGCTCCCCTCACAAGCTGTCAGGCCTGGGGTCTATCTGTCAACCTCAATGTCTGGGGCTCCGCGCGTGCCCGGACCGCCTCCCTCCAGGAATGCGCTGGACGGCACCCTCCTGCAGGCACTGCCCCAGGCCGCCCCCTGCAAATTTGCCCACCCCTGGCCCAGACCTCTTCCTCCCCAGCGAGAGGCTCACTCACTTCCCACTGACAACATGGGATGTCCCCGGATTCCTTCTCCAGTCCCCTACCCCACTGGGGTCCCTGGGACCTGCTGCAGAGGGGCCAAATCTGGACTTGCTGCCCTCAAGACACCACCCCCGGTCTCCGGGGTGTGAGGCTGCCTCTGTCAAGGGAGGTTCAGTTTCCTCCCACAGCAAGGAGAGGCAGGTGGGAGGAGGGCTGGGGCAGGACAGCACTGGGCAGGGTCACTGTTGGAGCTGACCCATGCATCCTCGGACTTCCATTAGATTACTCTATCTAGGCTTGGCATGTGTTTGAAATTCCTCATAAGAAAAAAAAATTGAGGGGCGCCTGGGTGGCTCAGTGGGTTAAGTCTCTGCCTTCACCTCAGGTCATGATCTCAGAGTCCTGGGATGGAGCCCCACATTGGGCTCTCTGCTTGGCAGGGAGCCTGCTTCTTCCCCCCCCAACCCCGCCCGCCCGCCTGCCTCTCTGCCTACTTGTGATCTCTGTCTGTCAAATAAATAAATAAATAAAATCTTAAAAGAAAAGAAATTGAACAAAATCTAGAAGGGAAATTTTTCTCCTCGTGACAATTACGGGTTTATCAATTTCTCCTCATAGGTCTCTCACTCTTGCTTTAGGCCTTCAGTTGCTCTGCAGCCTCAGAGGTCATGCTACAGCCACCTTTATGGTAACCCATGACAGCTGAACACAGTTATGTATGGGCTCTCTTTTCTCTATTTTTACGGCCCTATTACAGCCCCTCGCTCTCACCCCCCTCCTTCCGTAAAGGTTGAATGCCCAAGGCCGAAGGAGCTACCTTATCCAAGAGAACGCCCTGCCCCCATCCAGTTACTACTAGCTGATGTGGGGCATAAAGGCCTAGCCCTCTTTCCTGAGCTGGCTCAGGGGTGAGGGGGTCCAGCCCCCTCCCTTGTGTATGAGCGTTCTGGAACTGCTGCAATAAATTCCCACAAACCAGGTGGCTTGAAACAATAGGAATGTTTTCTCTCGTGGTTCTGGAGGCCAGAAGCCCAAAGTAAAGGCAGGATTGCATGCCTTCCAAAGTCGTGGTAGGGAGGGTCTTCCTTGTCTCACTCAGTTTCGTGAGGTCCTAAGCATCCGTGGGCTTGTGGCTGCACCAGCCCGGCCTCTGCTTTTATTGGCATGCAGACTTCTCTCCCTGTGTCTCTTTTGTCTCCTAAAGACCCTTGTCATTGGACTTAGGGCACCTAGAGAACCCGAGACGATCTCAAGATTCTTCATCACGTTGGCAAAGACACATTTTCCAAAAAAAGTCACAGTCACAGTTTCCAGGAGTTCGGATGTGACACATATTTTGAGGAGCCACCATTCACCCAGCTACACCTCAAAAGCCCCGGCCCAGGCCTGCCCAGCCAGTCTCCAGGTGAGAGGACAAGAGTGAGCATCAGAGCCCACAGCGAAGGACCACAGGGGACTCCTCTGCCTCTGTTCCAGGGAAGGGCCCCCATAACTGTGCCACCCTTGGCCTCCTAGGACGCCTGCTCCCTGCAGCCAGAAGCACCCTAAGTGAGTGTCCCAGCCCTCTCCCTCCAGCCAGCGGCAAGCAGATGCCCTCCCACAAGCATGGGCATGCCGAAGACCTCTCACTACAGACCAAGGCTCTCCTGGCCAGGGCCTGGGGCCACTGGAAAAAGAAAGAGAGAGAAGCCTGAGCTCTGGTTTTGTAAGGAGGGGTACAGCCCAGAGGCGGAGAGGGTGCCCACCTTGTGCTCAATTCCCACCCACCCCCACTCGGGACTGGATGAGAGGATGACAGACCCAGCAGTAAGCTGGGTCTTCTTGCTCCTTCCCCCCGCCCCCGTTTGGTGGCCCTTTCCATAGTCCTGACCTCAAGTCACTCATTATCAGTGGAGCACGTGTCCTGAGAAAGCCGTGCATTTCAGTCCTGGTTTTACCACGTGAATAGTGACCTGTAGGGAAACGAAGAGCCCAAGGCCCGCCCTGCGGACCTGCTCGCAGGTTCCAGGCAGGGCAGGGGCGGCGGAGGGAAGACGGACGCGGCTCTTGGCTTCTTCCCTTCTTGCTATTCTCTTTCCCTCCATCTGCACACGGCCCTTCCTAAGGCCCCCCTCGGCGCACCCCATTTTCTCATCTTGGCCCTGCTGGCTTACTGGGTGCCCTGCAGCGTCCCATGGATCCCAAATGGCTGAACAGAGGACGGGATGGACGTAAAGCCCCAGGGTCTGACCCACGGGGGGAGCTCGGCCAAAGCTGCCCCTCCCCGTCCCAGCGGCGGACGGCGGCGCGCTGACCACCGCTACCCAAGTCCTCGAAGCAGCCCAGATGGGAAGCAGAAGTGCCCCAGGGCGCTCGGGGAGTCAGCCCAGAACCCCAGTGGGACGCGCCGGGACCCGCGCGGGGCCCCGCCGCCCTCCCGCCGCGACGCGCATGCTCCATGCCCCCCACCCCCCGCGCCGGGTTCCCACGCCGCCGCCGCCCCGGCCCCGCCCGCTCCCCGCCCGCGTCCTGGCCCAGCTCGTCGGCTCCGGACAGACGACGGACGGCCTCGCAGAACGTGCCTCCCGAGAGCAGCGCCCACGGACCAGGTCGAAACCCAGCCGGGAATCCCGCCATCTCCTGGGACCGCTGTCCCGGAGGGCTTCTCGGAGGCGGCAGCCTTGGCCTCGGGCCTGCCAGAGGCCGGGGGCGGGGGGGCGGGCTGGGGCGGCGGGGACTAGGGGGAGCGACCAACGCGGCGGCCCGCGGAGCCCCAGTACGCCGGCCTGGCAGGACTGTGGTGGACCAGAGCGGGGCTCCGTTTGGGCAGGGGCCGAGGGGGCGAGGGAGAGGGTCCCGGGAAAGGCAGCCAGTGTTTCCTAGTTTCACGCCTTTGGCTGCGGTTCGCCTCTGACCCTGGGGCTGGCCAGAGAGCACCGGCCACCCGGCGGTAAGTTTGGATTTTTGCGCCTCTGTGTCTGGGAGCGCTGGGCAGGCTGGCGCTGTGAGGTCGCGGCGCTCCCGCCTAGGGGCACCTGGCGACCTCAGCAGGCACAGGCCTGGAGCGTCCCAGACGTATTCCCGCGGCTATAAAGGGTGGGGGTTTGTGCCCCCTCGGTGGTGTGAACCGTTGGTGGAGAGGCGCACAGCAGAAAAGGGCCTAAGGAGAGGAAGCCCGCGGTGGTATGGAAGGCCCCCAAGAGCAGGAGAGGGAGTGGGCTGAGCTGAGCGAGGGAACTAGCTCGAGGGGTCCGCCAGTCCACCAGCTCCTCGCCGAGCCACCAGTGTCGACCAGGCTGCTGCAGGCCTGTTAGGGAACAAAACAGCCAAACTCCCCCCAGGGTGGGTCCAGTTCTAGTTGCACCGCACCAACCATAAACAGCAAACATTTTAAATTCAGAATTATAGAGTGTGTTAAATGGTGGTAAGTGCCATGAGGAAAGCAGAGCAGAGGAAGGAAGGTGAGGAGTTGGGTTGCGAGTTTATGTAGTTAGGTGGTGAGGTTTCTGAAAAACTTGAAGGAAATGACAGAGTATTCCACAGAGACAAAACAACCAGTGCAAAGGCCCTGAGGTATGAGTGGTGGCATGGTGTGTGGGAGGGACCGCTCAGAAGACAGTGTGGCAGGAGTAGGGAGCAAACGGGTGGGAGGAGGGGAAGGCCAGGTCAGAAAGAGCCATGTGGGTAAGACAGGAACCCCAAGGAGGGCTGTGAGCAGAGAAGGACAGAATCCCATTAGGAGGTAGCCGTCTCTATGACCAGTTCAGCCTGTGTCCCCCACCCCCCAGGGCAGGGAGACATCCGTTGCGAGGGTGAGGTTCAGAGGGCTTTGCTGGGTCAGGCACCGTGGAGGCCCTGGACTGACCTGTGGCCTCCCTAGGGCCCCGGGTCCTCAGGCCTTTCCACCAGGTGGGTGGCAAGTGATGCAGTCCCCCTGGGGAACGCTGCCGGAGCAAGGAGGAGGCGGTTGGGGTCTTAAATTGCCAGACCTCAGAGGAAGTTTCACCGGGCCGGGGGGGCGGGGGTGGGGAAGAAGCGTGACTGCAGAGACCCTGCGTCACTCCTTGCCGATGAAACAGCCCCAATTCTTGATCCTGCCTGCGTGGGATTGCTGACCGCCTTTCCCGTTGTTTGTTTGTTTGCTGTTTTCTTTTTCTGGGGAAACAGCCCCATCTCGTGGTCTTCTGTAGACATCAGCACTGAAGCCCACTGGCCGCCTCTCCCCTTTCTGAACCGTGATGCGTTTCAGTTGGCAGCCTGAGCCTCTCCTGCCCCAGGGGGGCGGCCCCACATCCTTGCCTTTACTTGGGCCAGTCAGCAAGCACGGTGGGATTCTGCTACCCTCCTAACCCAGGCAGACTGGGCCTTCCTGGGGCACTGCTGGCTGATGGACCGTCACCTGTCTGCCTAGTGTCGGGTTGCCAGGAGACCTGAGCTTCGGGGCCTGGAATCATCCTTCAGCCTCTCCTTTGCCCCGGTGGCCCACCAGGGTCGTAGGAGAGGCCCCTCTCCAGTTCCACAGTCTCCTGATTCTTCCTTAGGCATATGTCCCATTCCTGCCCGGGCGTTACTCGGGATCAGGGTCTGTGAGAAGAACTTGCCATGTCTCTCTTTGCAGGCTTGAGGGTATGGGAGACTAGGTCTCATGGATGGACACTTGGGTGTGGCCACTGCGCATGACTGGCCCCCTGGATGCACCTTGTGGCGTCGAATTTCAGTGTCGGGCTCTGTCTGCAGGCTAACCCTGTCCGTAGTGTGTTTTCCTCAGGAAGTCACAGCTCAACAATCTCTTCTCTCTTGGGAGCTTGGAAGGGACCCCAGCAAGTTGTGGGAGGTGGCTTTCAATTTGCGTATTTTCCAAAATGGCTCATGACCCGGCAGGACAGTCATGGTAAGGAAAAAAGAAGTTGGTGCTGTCCTTCAGAACGTTCTGGTAGTGGCCTGAGAAGCCTTGCTGCTATCAGTATTCTTCGCCTGCACACACACCTATAGCTTGTGCCAGTCCCCTGGTGGCTGACAGCGTGTCATCATGAGGCACACGTGACCTGTGGACATCAAGATTATTTGACAGTGACACCTTTTGCCCCTCCCCCTCTTTTTTTTCGTTGAGACGGGATTCACATAACATAAAACTAGCCACTTCAGAGCCAGTGACTCAGTGGCATGAAGCACATGAAGCAACCATCCCCTCTTTCTAGTTCCAGAACCTTTTTTTTTAAGATATTTATTTATTTATTTGACAGAGAGATCACAAGTAGGGAGAGAGGCAGGCAGAGAGAGGAGGAAGCAGGCTCCCCATGGAGCAGAGAGCCTGATGCGGGGCTCGACCCCAGGACCCTGGGATCATGACCTGAGCCAAAGGCAGAGGCTTTAACCCACTGAGCCACCCAGGTGCCCCAGTTCCAGAACCTTTTTATCCCCCAGAGAGAAACCCTTTCCGGGAAGCCAGTGCTCCCAGCGCCCTCCCCCTCAGCCGCTGGCCCTCCGGATTTACCTGTGCTGGAGATGTCACACAGTTTGTAAGACTTCAAGCTTTCTTGATGGGAAATCACAGGTCAGTGACATTCGGAGTGATCAAAGGCAGACATCTTTGTTACAGCTCCGAAGGAGAGGAGGCGGCCACGTGGGGCCTTATGGGGCGGGGGGGGGGGGGGTTGGGGGGGGGGGGGGGGGGTTAGGGGGGGGGGGGGTGGGGGGAGTGTGTTTAGTGGTCCCAGAGAAAGGAGCCCCAATCAGGGAGATACTTGGGGTGGGGGCTTAGCCAACTGGCCAAGAAAGGCCGAGAAAAGAGAACTTTTCGACGTAACTTGGAAACTAGGTCAAGATGGCTCTTGTGAACTACTAGATGACGTCACATAGGCGGAATCGCGCAGCATGTGGCCTCTCGTGTCCATGCCTGGCTTCTTCCACGGAGCGTGAGGTCTCCAGGGTTCATCCACACCGCAGCACGGAGCAGTACTTCCCTCCTCTTTATAGCCAAACAGCATTCCACCATGGGCACAGACCCCGGTTTGCTGGGTCCCTGTCTTGGGTTCTTCCGCCCTCTGGCTGCTGCCGGGCAGGCTGCAGTTAAACCCGGCGCGTTCGTTTTGATGTGAAGACCTGTGGTCAGTCCTCGGGAATGTATACTCAGGAGGGCAATTGCTCGGTCACGTGATGGAGGGACCACCAGACGAATCTCCCTTTTCATCGCGTGTGCCGCTGCGCAGACAGACAAACAGAGCACAGGCACCCACCTCCCCGGGTTTGCCGGAGGCCTCCAGCTTGCCTTATTGGCGTGTTTCTCTTTCTTTCTGTTCCTCCTTTCCCCTGCCCCTCCCTCCTTCTCTCGGTCTCTCTCTCTCTCTCCCCGTCTCTCTTGCCTTTGTTTTTACGGAAATATTTTAAAGTAAGTTTACATGCCATTTTCTCCGTAAGTGCTTCTCGAAGGACATTTCATCCCATGACCCGCTGCCATTATCCGGCCAACACATGAGCTGCACCGGCCCCACAGTCACCCCTCCAGGCCCCCAGTGCCTTTGAGTCCTCTGTCCTGCACACCAGTGTCTCACCAAGGACTCCCGTTGCACTTGACTGTTGGCCATGACATCTCTTTTCCTCTAGAACAGTCTCTCTTGCCAGCCTCCTCTTTTTGCCATGACACTGATATGAAGAGGAGACCGGGTACAGCCCACCATCTACACCGGGCTTGTTGCTTCCTTGTGGTCTTCCCTCTGTCCCCAAGATCCTTTATAAACTGGGTGTGGGCTTCCAAAGCTGCATTAGAATCCGGCCAAGCTTTGGAAGAGCCTTGTGCACTCCCCACGGTGCCATCCCCACAGCAGGCATGTCCCAGCTCTGCCCAGGTTAGCTTTCTGTCTTGTGACCAGCAGCAAACAGGGGAAGACATTTTGACATCACGTGGCCATCCACTTTCCCTAGGTCTTTCACCCGGTGGTTTTAGTGTCCATTCTGCTTTAAGAGATTCTTTCCATCTTCATCGGATACATGAGTTTATTAATTCTCAGCCAATGCTGATTGAAAGCTCATCACTGGTGATAAGGGACTCGGCTGCAGTTTAAATGCTGCGCCACCCTGTCCCCTCACCCTCTCTCCTGTAGCAGAAATAAGCTGCGGTCGCCCAGACAGCATAAGCATTTGCGGCCCACTCCGGCCGGCCACCGCCTGGTTCCTCTGCTTCCCCAAGGGGGACTCCACCTTGTGGCCTCCCGTTGGTGGTGACAACAGCCTTGGAGCAAACCTTCCTTTGCCCCACTGTTTTCCAGTATTGAAAATTGATGTGGCGAAATCTGATTCTGTCCGCTTTGGCAATGACATGCTCTTCCCGCCCTTAGTGTGAGCCCCAGCTCCTGTCTGTCCCCAGAGTGCCCACGCGGCCTCACCTTCTGGACACCCCACCCCGCCCCCCATTTCAGCACCATGACCGCTGAGCTTGGACCCATCCGAGGGCCGGATATGGGCCAGGCCGTTAGCCTGCTGCTCTCTCCACTCACCCCCAGCCTTCAGCTCCGGGCCTGAAGGTCCCCCCTTCAGAGAGCACCCCTCTCCCAGCTAATGTGGGCCCCTCCAAAGTGCATCTCACTATTCTGATCTTTCTCTTTTCCTTGAGAGTGGGACTGCTTCAGGCGGAGTGGGGTGTGTGTGTGTGTGTGTGTTCTGGAGTTTTTCTGTAAGGACCCCAAGCCGAAAGGAAAAGGAGTCAGCACTAGAGCTTCCAGGAACGGCTGGGAAGTTGGGGCAGGGGCGCTGCTTCCATGGGAGGAAGGTTTCATACGCCCTGTCTGGCGGCCCACCACCCTGATGAGGAGAGAGGACAGGAGCCCACAGAGACGTGCGGAAGTCCTGTCCCCCAGTGGCTGTGAACGGGACCTCACTGGGCTGAGGTCATGCTGGAGGAGGGTGGACCTCATCTCATACTTGGCTTTTTCCAACCCCGGTAGCTTCTTTGCACCCCTGCGATGGCAGCCATTCTCTTGAAGGCCAAACCCAAGGTGAGTGGAGCTCCCTGACTTTCCCCATTTGCCACCTCTTCGTGTCTCCCCTTAACTGCTGAGTTCTCTGGGTCTCCCTGCCCCCAGTTTAGTTGCTGCCCGCCCATTCTGAGATTCATGGGTATGAAGTCCCCTGCAGCCACAGGAATGATTTGTTTTAGGTGCCAGTGTCTTTTGAAGATGTGTCCGTGTACTTCACCAAGACAGAATGGAAGCTTCTGGATGTCCAACAAAGGATTCTCTACAAGACAGTGATGCTGGAAAACTATCGTCATTTGGTGTCCCTGGGTAAGGATCGGACACACATATCTAATCCCCCTACTCTGTTTCTGTTTATTTTTAAGTTTCTTTGTTTGTTGGTTACTGTGAGCCCAAGAATAAATGCATTTTCCCATCAGAGCAGTAATCTCCTGGAGCCCGGCTTTTGTCTCAGTAGGACAATTTTTAGCCAAATGGTTTTGACCTGCAAGTGGTAAATGCGTGGGCCCCCATCGAACTTATTTTGCATCTAAAATCACATGTTAAGTAAAAGATAGACGCGCATTATCCTTGAATATTTATATGCTGCTGTAGACTTTTTTCATGATCAAGGTGGAATTGTACATTCATTTCATGTTACGGAGTTCAGCTGCTCTTTTTCCTTGTACCAAGGCTAAGACGTGCACTCGGCTCTCCGGCCTACAGAAACCTGGAAAGGAGCTGGGCAGGACCCCTCCACACACCCACAGACACCGCTGCCGCTGGCTTGCAGGGGTCTGTTTGCTCCATTTCTTTCCTACAGATTTCATCTCCCTCATCCAACCACACAGAGGGAGACTAGTTTCTTCCCCTTGGTTCTTTCTGACCCTCACCATGCAGATCCAGGGCTCAAAGGGGAGTTCTGGATTTGTCCGTTGAGTTTGGCATAAAGGGACTGAGCCATCTGTTCTGTTCGATGATGGAAATGGGGCTTCGGCTCTCAAGGCGCAGGTGTGCCTCAGTTCTGTCGGTTCCTGACCCTCCCTGGGGCCCTTGTGTGCCACCTTCCGCGGATCCCTGCCCTTAGTCCCTTGGGATCTTCACACAGATTCCCCCATTTCCCACATGCCTACTGCCCTCCCCGCAGGCCAAATAGTAACATCGTTACGCTCTTGACCCCAGTCCCCATGGACTTTGGACTGCCCATGGCCACTGGGGGCTCCCATACGTTCAAATTCTTTTGCTTCCGTCAAGAGAATCTGTCCTTGCTCTGGACCTGCAGTGGCGCTCTCTTACAGGCTTCTTTGTTCTCTGTTCCTGACGATAGGAAGGCTGGGCTGAGTACAGGAATGTCACTGATCTGCTTCATTTCCATGGACAGGATTTTTATCCACCAAGCCTCACCTGGTCTCCTGGCTGGAACAAGGGGAGGGGCCCTGGGCAACAGACGTCTGGAGAACACCGGCCACCGCGGAGATGCAGACAGGTGATTGTGGGGCGCCGGGCTGGCTGCCCTGAGCCAGTCACAAGGAGCAGCCGCCCAAGCAGGGTATTGTGACCACTTTGGGTGGGAAATTCCCTTTTGTGGCCCACTTAAATCGCCCAGGGAGTCCCCGTTGAGACCCCGGGTGAAGGCAGCACCTCTTGCCGTGTCCCTCCACTGCTTCCAGCTCCCTCCCGCGCCCCGTCCCCCTGTCCTGATCCGTTCCTTCTCAGCTTTGGTGTGGGCATGAGGCAGGAGAACGAACCCTAAATAGAGCTGCGGGGAGAGCGCCCCTGGTGGGTGTTCTGTGTCGTTACAGGAGACGGGATACAAACCGGGACGTCGGTTTCCGCACAGAAGCGTGGCCCCGAAGAACTCCCGGGGCCCGATCGTCGGGCGGGTGACGATCGCCCAGTGGCCGGGCCGCCAGGGGACGCGCCGGAGCAGGGCGTGAGACGGGCTCCCTCTCCGCAGACGGGGTCCAGCAGGGGTGACCCTCCCCGGGAGAAAGGTCCCGGCGGACCGTCCGGTGCGGCCGGAGAGACGCCGCAGAGGAGCAGCCCCCGCGTCGGGCAGGAGCGGGTTCCCGGGCGGCAGGGAGCGCGCGGCGCCGAGAAGCGCTACGTGTGCCAGCAGTGCGGCCGCGCGTTCAGCCGCAGCTCCAACCTCATCAAGCACCGGGTCATCCACAGCGGCGAGAAGCCGTACGCGTGCGGCGAGTGCGGGAAGCTCTTCCGGCGGAGCTTCGCGCTGCTGGAGCACCGGCGCACGCACAGCGGCGAGCGGCCCTACGCGTGCGGGGACTGCGGCAAGGCTTTCACGCGCAGCTCCAACCTCATCAAGCACCAGGTCATCCACAGCGGCGAGAAGCCGTACGCGTGCCCCGAGTGCGGGAAGCCGTTCCGGCGCCGCTTCGCGCTGCTGGAGCACCGGCGCACGCACAGCGGCGAGCGGCCCTACGCGTGCGGGGACTGCGGCAAGGCCTTCCGCCGCAGCTCCAACCTCATCGAGCACCAGCGCACGCACCGCGGCGACAAGCCGTACGCGTGCGGCCAGTGCGCCAAGGCCTTCAAGGGCGTGTCGCAGCTCATCCACCACCAGCGCAGCCACAGCGGCGACAGGCCCTTCACGTGCAAGCAGTGCGGCAAGGCCTTCCGCGGCTGCTCGGGGCTCAGCCAGCACCAGCGCGCGCACAGCGGAGAGCGGCCCTACGCGTGCCCCGACTGCGGCCGCGCCTTCAGCCGCCGAGCCAACCTCTGCAAGCACCGGGCGCTGCACCGCAGGGACCGGCCCCGCGCGTGTTCGCGCTGCGGGCGGCGCCCCCCGGAGCCCCGGGCCGCGCAGGGGGCCGAGCCGCGGCGGCCACGCGCTGGGAGCGGCCGCTGCGCTGAGTGCGGCCAAGCCCTCCGGGCCCCGCGGCGGCCGGGCCGGGCCCAGAAGCCCCGCGGCGGGAGGAGGCCCGCGGGGAGGAGCGACGGCGGGGCGGAGGGCGAGGCGGCTCCGGGTGACGTGGGCTGTGCGGCGGCCCCCCGCGCGGTGTGACCCGGCCGGGCTTCGGAACGGGGCGCCTGGTGCTCCTCTCGGCCCGGCGACGGTGCCTGCGGGCGCTGCAGGGCGTGCTCCCGGGCCCGTGGGCCTCAGGAACCCCTGCGACGGCGGCTGGGGGGCGGGGGCCGGGGCCACCCTGTGACGAGAGGCCCCCGCCCCCGGCCCCCGCCTCCCGCACCGGCGCCTTGGGTTCCTCTTGCGAGACCGTGGGCTTCAGCCCCAGACTGCTTCGTGTTTCCGGGTAGAAGCACTCCGAGCACTTTAATCCTTTAAGCGCCTGTCAGCGGAGGGGACTTGAGGGAACTCTGCGACTGGACTGTGGCTGGACTGTGTGACGTAACCGCAGACTCATCAGTTCAGAAATTGTCTGGAAACGGACTTGGGCAAAGACGTTCGTGGCCTGCCCCAGCCGGCTGGTCCTGCCGCAGGAAGTGATGTCTCTGAGCCTGCCGCTCCACGGGAAGGAACAGGACACCCCGCTAGCACGCTGAGCAGGGACCCTTTCCTTTCCCGGGCCACTTGTCCTTGTGCCTGAGAGCCACAGCTGCCCACGGGTTCCGCCGGCTGCTTCTCCGAGGAGCCGCAGCACCCAGCTCACATCTTCCCAGAGGCCTGGGGCAGGGCTGCATATGGGAGACACTCTGGTCTCTCACGGGAGGGGACTCCAGGCAAGCCGTGTCTTCCCTGCCCACCAGGCTCACCCTCCTCGCTGCCTTCTGCTCCTCCAGACCCCACCAGCGAAGACCACCCTGGCCTCTCCGCCCCACCTCCCCACCCTCAGTGCCTAGAGCTTCCCGCAGCGCTGCACTCCGCCAAGGCGCGGTCCTTCGGGAAGGCGACAAGCTGGGTTAGGGATTCGCATAGAGCGGCCGGCAGTGGCTCTCTCGTTGGATCTGCCTTTCATATGACATTTCTTATAATATTGAAGGTTCAGCTGCTTTGAATATTTTCGCATTCAGGAGTAATGGAAGTTAAAGATAGAGATTTTTGTCTCATGATTAAATAAGACTCCCCCACCCTGTGAGAAGACTTCAGGCAAGAGAAAGCCAGGCCCCTCCTCTCCCCCCTCCTCCTCAGCCCCACGGAGACAGGGCGGCTGGCAGTGTCCTCACCGGCTTGCCACCTCCTTGCAGCCCCCTTCACTGCCAGGCTTTCTGGCAGGCAAGTGGTAGGTCCCCACTGGGCCTCCGAGGAGCACGGGCGCCTACCCTGCCACACAGGGGAGGTTCGAGTGGACATCAGGACAGTGAGGGAAAACCTGGAGATGCAGAATTCCTTCCGAGCAGACATCTTGGAGCTCTGATCACTAGGATGACGCCAAAAAAGAGAGATACAGGTAGACAGAAACAAAGACATAGAGAAGTTTGATCTAGCTATATCAAAAAGAGTTTGATACTATTTATGGAAAGTTCTAGAGTTCTTATATCTTGCTTTTATCTCATAGCCCCTTTCACTGGGTCTGTGTCCCCTTGTCCTTTGATTGTCTTCTTTGTGTCACGTTCATGTTTGCTAGCACTTCAGAAACATGTGAAGTGAATACGGCCCCCTTAGCACTTTACCTCCAGCCCCATCTGAGGGGATCGAACGGATCTGCATCTTGGGGTTCTCCAAGGGAAAAAGAAGTATCAGCAACAGTGTCTTTGAAGTCCATGGGCCGGTCATTGGGAAGCATGTGTTTCCCTAAGGCACAGACGATCTTTGAAGGCAGGCAAGGGGTCAGGAAACCAGTCGCTGTGCAGAGCAAGGAACAGAGGCAGGAAGCCACACACGTGGACTCCACTCTCATTCGGTTCAACTGTGGCCTGACCAAGATTGGGACGACAACCACCACGTGAGGAGAACCAGACAGAGACCAGATCCATGGGCTCCCGTGTCCGTTTCCCTCGCTCTCATAAGTGAACAGCATGTGACATCATCCCATCTGTTCCACTGGACAAGCCAACTTCACTTCTACCGTGAACTCCTTCTCTCATGGGGCCCGTACCCAAAGGTGACTGGCTACAGGGGGTGATGTACAGGTGTTTTCAGCAGAGGGTGCTGGACATTTGTGCCCTGGTTTTGGAGCACCCAAAAGTTTCCAGGGTCCCCAAACGCTTACCCAGATAAATGACATTTAAAATAGCAATGCATCTTTTTGTCAGTGCTCTGTCTAATTTTGCTTGTCTTCATGACATTTTCACTGCAGTGTGATTATGAGTGTCATTTTCTCTCCTGTGTGGAATAAAAGCCAGACCACTTGCTCTCTGACACTTTGGACCCTTTGCAAGAGCTATTTAAAGGCCGTGGCTCTACCCCCATGTAACTGCTATATTGTCCTGACTGAATTCATTTACTTTAGGGGCAAACAAATAAGGAGGCTCTAAGAGTGCTGGCCTTGAACAGAGTCCTCTCGTGCTTTAAAGTGAGCGTATAGCAGTTGGGTTAAAGGTACCAGGAAAGACTCAGTGTGGAACTGCGGGGGCAAGCCGAGAGACTGTTTGGGTGAAGGTAAGGCAGAAACCTTGGAGGGAGACACACCTGGGAATCAAGGGCAGCCATCCGAGGCCGGTGGGACACCGTGACTCGGAGACCGGGAGGGCAGAGCGGCACAGCAGCACCGTGAGAAACACAGCTATGTCTTCCCTTCAGTTGCTTCTGTGTCTTTGGGCAACATGGCAGCACCCACACGCCCTCCAGTGTGGACCCGTGCAGCCCCACGTGGGTCTGGACACAAGGCGGCTCCGCCTTCACCCTTCTGGCTGGCCCTCGGGCAGCACGGGCGTGGCAGGACTGCCTCTGCCACAGACGACTCTCCGACGGCCCAGGAACCACTCGGGACCTTCACGCCTTTCTTTCCCCAGCCTGAGGGACACAGCCGGCCCTCACCCGCGGTGCTGACTGTGTGTCTTGCTGGGTAGCAGAGGTGACGACTGCGGTCCTGAGGCCAGAGCAGGGGTGAGTATCAGGGTGGCAGAGGTCAAGGGACTTCGGGCAGAACCGAGGGAAGGAGGGGAGCCCACATGTGGTCGGGAGCCCTGGAAGAGCAGAGGGGTTTCTGCAGGATGCTTGTGGGGTCTCTGGGAGCACAACGCAGGAAAGCCTGGGATGCCGGATGGAGAAGTTTGGTCTCTGGTTCCTGATGAGGAGCAAGTTTTTGTTAGCATGAAAGAATTATTCTCAGGTGGAGGAGGGGAAGTTCACGTACATTATAACACTGTCATCACCCAGACGGTTCTGATGTCCATTCCGTGCGGAGCCATGACGGTCTGGCGCAAGCAGCCACAGCCGACATTGTCAGGCATCCCATTTGCCGTGGCGTTGCCCCCTGGTTGCCTCCGACACAACGCTAGGGTGTCTGTGACTTCACAGCATGGGGCACACCCAGGCTGGGAAGTCACGGCTTCCTCATCTCTCTTACATAGAAGTGTAAGTGGCGTTTGTACACCTGCCAAAACGTCAGCACACTGAAGATGGTGACCACAAACACCAGCACCCCAAAAGTGACCTGCCTCCCTGCACTGCCGCCTCCCTGCCCCTCCTGGCTTCCCACTGCCACAACCGCATTGGCGTGTGTCGGTCCTTCACTCACGTCACACTGCCAAGCACCGTTCCACTGGCTGGATGGACCACGAGACCTCCTGGACACTGGCTGATGCACTTTCGGGCTGTTGCCCGCGTGGGGCCATGACATTCATGCACAGGGGTTGGTGGGGATACGTGGAACTCTCATGTCCCTCTGAGCCACCCATATATCTTCTTTGGTACAGCGCTCAAATCTTTCGCCCATTTATAATTGATTCGTTTGTCTTTTCATGTGGTTGGAAAGTTCTAGATACAAGTCCTTTGGCACACATGTTTTGCAAATATTTTCTTCCAGACTGAGGCTTGCCTTTCTATTTTCATAACAGTGCTTTTTGAAGAACAGACGTTGTTTTATTTTGCAGAAGCCCAGGGAATGGATTTTTTAATTTTATGGCTTGTACTTTCTGTGCCACAGTTAAGAAGCCTTTGCAAAACTCAAGTCACGACAGTCGGGCCCTCCGTCTTCTTCCGGGAGCCGTGGAGCTTTTGCTCTTACCTTTGGGTCTTTGACCTATTTGGACTTCATGTTCATGTGTGATGCGTGGTGAATTCACAATTTCCTTTTCTTCCGTGCAGGTGTCCAGCTTCTCCAGCTCCGTCCGTGGTGAAGGTGATCTTTGCTACTTGTCCGGCAGACTTCCACTTAGGTCTCAGCTGGAACTAGGTCACATGGCCACACTGCGCTGAAAAAGAGGCTGGGGAAAGCTGGGGACAGGACTGTCATGACCTGTCACCTGAGGCTGAGCCCACTGATGCCTTGAACAAAATTGGGGTCTTATCCCCAGAGGAGAGGCTGGAATGTAAATTGGGTGATGTTATGGATTGAATTATGCCCCCCCAAAAGCCATGTTGAAGTCTTAGCCCCCAGTGACCTCAGAATTTGACCTTATATATAAATAGGGTCTTTGCAGATCTAACTAGTTACGATGAGGCCCTACCCAGATAAACCTGGATGATGTCATCTCATGATGTTTAATCCACATATCCATATCCACAGAGAACCAATAAGGGCACATTCACACGGTCCAGGGTTTAGGATACGGACAAACCTTTCGGATGCCGCCCCCCTCGGCCCACTATAGACAGGAACATGCTTGGTGTGTTGGAGGCCATGTGACTGGGAAGCCAGTGCTGAGTCCCTTCTCGCTGCCCCCTGGGGCCCAGGACAGAAGAGGCACATGTGCGGGAAAGGTCCGTGACTCCCGGATCCTTCTCCTCTTTCTCCACAAACAGGATTTCCAGGTTCTCGACCGAACATCCCCGGCAGCCAGGTAAACTGCTCTGCACACCCAGGTTGCTGGGGTCAGAGAGCAGAGGTGTTGCTAGCCGTCAACAGCCAGCCCACCTCCTCCTACCGCCCTCCTGCCTGGCGGCCCTGGGACCCCTCCCTGCCACCACCACCCCGTCATCCTGGGTGGCTGGCCCAGCACTAC